CCTAAAGTGGACCTGTCATCACATACTAAGCGCAGCATGCCGAGTAATGTGTCAGTGTGACCCGTCCAGGTATTTATTACCTCCCACAGAGATCACAGGACCCCCCCCCCCCCCCCCCCCCCCCCCCCCCAACAACACCCTCATCTGCTTTTCCCTGCAGGACGGCACCATCTTTGTTCCGGCATCATCCAGAGTCACCGTCTACTCCCTGGACTGAGATGTCGGCCCTGAGAGGACTAATGTAGGCCATAGGCGGGTCGAAAATCTGACTTTTTTTTTTAAAAAAAAACGAAAAATGGTCATTCGATCGGCCGACGTTACCACCAACGGTAAAAAAAAATCAGCCGATTTTCGTCCCGTCTGCGGCCGGCATTTACCCCCATAATGACTTCTGTCCCTGCAGAGAGCTCCGCTGTTATATTTTATATGAAAGTCTTGCGGTTGCAACAATGTATCCATTTGTATCCATTTGTATTTCAGATACAGATGTTTTTATTCGGATACAAATGGATACATTGTTGCAACCGCAAGACTTTCATGTAAAATATAACAGCGGACTGGAATTCTTCTTCTTGCAGGTCTCGGCTCATGGGCAGATTTTTTAGCAGTAAATCGATCGGCCGATTTGCCTATCATTGCCGGGAAAATCAGCTGATCGTCAAAATCGGCCACAAATTTTCCAACATGTCCAAAAAGCCTGAAAAACGGCCAACCAATTAACCCACTAATGGTGCAAAAATCAGCCGATTTTTGACCATCTGTGGCCGGCGTTAATCATGTAGTTAATTCACAGGTATGAAAGAACAAAAATCAAAAGAATGAAAGGGGCGGGGCCAGGGACAGTCAGGGTGACACCAGTGAAAAGAAGTGGACAAAACAGCACTTCTGGTGTCACCTGTCCATGTTTAATCCCACAATCCTCTCATTGCTGAGACTTGTACTGGGACCCTGGAAGCAGCCCGCCCGTCCCGGGTCATCCGATTGGTTGTTTTATCTACTCTTGTGTGTATAGTATACGCAGTGATGTAGACCCACCAGTCAGTCCTCCGCATTCCCAGCAATGCAGGACCGCAGGGCGATCGCTTACTAATCGATGGTTTTGCTTATTACTGGGGTGATTTATTTTTCTATTTATACATCACAAAGTCTGATGGCTTCTAGCCGGAGTTCCACTTTAATAGACAGAGCGATGCCTCCACCTAGTGTGCAGAAGGTGGAACAACAACCGCTGTGAGCGGCATTACCACAAATAGGATCCTTTCCACTTCGGCAGAACCTGTCTGATCCGGCTTCTAATTTACAAACTTGTAGCCAATCAGCCAAAAAGTCCCATCGCTAACTAACCGCCGAAAACCATCGCCGCCATCGAAAGTCCCATCGCGAACCACACCGCCGAAAGTCCCATCGCCGACCTCGCCATCGAAAGTCCCATCACCAACCTCACCACCAAACGTCCCATTGCTGACCTCGCCATCAAAAGTCCCATCGCCAACCTCACCACCAAACGTCCCATTGCTGACCTCGCCATCAAAAGTCCCATCGCCAACCTCACCACCAAACGTCCCATCGCCGAAAGTCCCATCGCTAACCACACCGCCGAAAGTCCCATCGCCAACCTCACCACCAAACGTCCCATTGCTGACCTGACTGCCAAAAGTCCCATCCCCAACCACACTGCTGAAAGCCCCATCAGTCACCAATGATACTACTTAAAGTCCCATCGCCAAAAGCACCCCATCACCAGCAGCACCACCGAAAGTCCCATTGCGACCGCAAAACCGCCAAAAATCCCCCATCGCCAAATGCACACCTTAAAGTCCCATCACCAATGCCACTTAAAGTCCCATCACCAACCACACCGCCGAAAGTCCCATCATCATCAACCCCCACCACCAAAAGACCCATCGCCAACCTCATTGAAAAGTGCCATCACCAACAGCACCACCGAAAGTCCCACTACCACCACACAACCGAAAGTCCTGTCGCCGACCGCACCGCCAAAAGTCCCATCGCCACTGCACCGCCGAAAGTCCCATCGCCACTGCACCGCCGAAAGTCCCATCGCCAAGTCCCTCAACGCCAAAATTCCCATCACCCACCAGTCCCACCTCACCGCCAAAAGTCCGAACTGCACTCCTTAAAGTCCCCCATAACCAATGCCACTACTTAAAGTCCCATCGTCAAACTCACCGCCTAAAGTCCCATCGCCAACCACATTGCAAATAGTCCCACCACCAACCACAAGACCGAAAGTCCATCGCCAACCACACTGCCTGAAAGTACCATGCCAATCTCACCTCTGAAAGTCCCATCGCCAACCTCACCGCCGAAAGTCCCATCGCCAACCACCGCCAAAAGTCCCATCGCCAACCTCGCCGAAAGTCCCACAACCTCACCGCCGAAAGTCCCATCGCCAAACCTCATCGCCGAAAGTCCCATCGCCAACCTCACCGCCGAAAGTCCCATCGCCAAGTCCCTCACCGCCGAAAGTCCCATCGCCAACCTCACCGCCGAAAGTCCCATCGCCAACCTCACCGCCGAAAGTCCCATCGCCAACCTCACCGCCGAAAGTCCCATCGCCAACCTCACCGCCGAAAGTCCCATCGCCAACCTCATCGCCGAAAAGTCCCATCGCCAACCTCACCGCCGAAAGTCCCATCGCCAACCTCACCGCCGAAAGTCCCATCGCCAACCTCATCGCCGAAAGTCCCATCGCCAACCTCATCGCCGAAAGTCCCATCGCCGCCGAAAGTCCCATCGCAACCTCATCGCCGAAAGTCCCATCGCCAACCTCATCGCCGAAAGTCCCATCGCCAACCTCATCGCCGAAAGTCCCATCGCCAACCTCGAAACCTCATCGCCGAAAGTCCCATCGCCAACCTCATCGCCGAAAGTCCCATCGCCAACCTCGCCGAAAGTCCCATCGCCAACCTCACCGCCGAAAGTCCCATCGCCAACCTCATCGCCGAAAGTCCCATCGCCAACCTCATCGCCGAAAGTCCCATCGCAACCTCATCGCCGAAAGTCCCATCGCCAACCTCATCGCCGAAAGTCCCATCGCCAACCTCACCGCCGAAAGTCCCATCGCCAACCTCATCGCCGAAAGTCCCATCGCCAACCTCACCGCCGAAAGTCCCATCGCCAACCTCATCGCCGAAAGTCCCATCGCCAACCTCATCGCCGAAAGTCCCATCGCCCGAAAGTCCCATCGCCACCGCCGAAAGTCCCATCGCCAACCTCACCGCCGAAAGTCCCATCGCCAACCTCACCGCCGAAAAGTCCCATCGCAACCTCATCGCCGAAAGTCCCTCTCATCGCCGAAAGTCCCATCGCCAACCTCACCGCCGAAATCGCCGAAAGTCCCATCGCCAACCTCATCGCCGAAAGTCCCATCGCCAACCTCATCGCCGAAAGTCCCATCGCCAACCTCATCGCCGAAAGTCCCATCGAAAGTCCCCATCGCCATCGCCGAAAGTCCCATCGCCAACCTCACCGCCGAAAGTCCCATCGCCAACCTCACCGCCGAAAGTCCCATCGCCAACCTCACCGCCGAAAGTCCCATCGCCACCTCAACCTCGCCGAAAGTCCCATCGCCAAAAAGAATCTTAGAATTGATTTTTGTTAAGTTTTTTTTTTTAAGTAAATAAAATTTTTACAAATTTTTTTAAATTAAAAGTTTTATTGAAATTAATTCAATTGAATTTACAATTTTTAAACAAATGAATGAAATGACTTTAAATGAAAAGTAACATTTCCCGGGTTTAGTGAATCGTTTAGTTTTTGGAGTCGCCTTCATGTTCCAATCACACCCTTTATATGAGGCATCGGCAATGATGGCGCCTTCAGCGGCCTCCACGCCGCGTCCAGGCCTCATCCCTTCCACAATTCGGAGGTTGGACGTCTGATGAGGTTTATTTAATGTTATTCGTTTATTTTACCTTTTTTTTTTCTCCTTTGTTACACCTCCTGCAACCTCTATGCAGCCACTTCCTGTCTACATGCTCTCCACCAATAGCAACGCGGCATTTTTCAGGGCAGATTTCCCGATGGTGACAACAGTGAACCATGTCTGTCAAAAATGATAAAATGGTCACTTGTAGTCCAATTTGGAAGCCTATGTGACAGGGTGACAACAGAGGAGCACAACTAGGAGAGAAGGACAAAGTTGTCACCCTGTAACAGGAAGTGCCTAAATAAAGTCCTTAATGGCAGGATCACCAGTGGACACTCCCTGTGTAATTTGTGTTGATATGACCACTTGTAGTCTCCATCAGAGCCCCGTGTGACAGGATGACAACGCAGCAGCACAACTGGGAGAGGAGAAAGTGTTGTCACCCTATAACAGGAAGTGCCTGAAAAAGGATCTCTATGGCAGCATCACTGGGAATTATTATTATGAAAGCCACAAATTTATAAAGTTCTTTTTAGAATATGACATGTAAGAGTCGATGGTGCTGAGCGAATTTCTAACCCTTCCTGCTCTGTTGAGACGTTCGATCCATTGTACTGATTCGATGTACGCCGCTCCTGGCAGGGACTGTATCTGGGGTCAGTGTTGGTGATAATGATCCCAGTAACTATGTATTTATTTCAGGACCAAATATTTACCTGACCCAGATCCAGCGTGACAGGCGAGGAGAGGACAGCCAGCGCTCCACAATGAGGACTTTGCAGCATCGGGACAGAACAACGAATATCCGGCCTCAGCAGAGCCCATCCCAGGGATGCAGAGCCACCCAATCAGTGCTGAGCCACATAAAGGAACACTCCGCAATCTGCACTCCTGATATAACATTCCTAAATCCTCCCTCCGCAGTCCTTCCCCTCCTCCAGTCCTGTACAGGTGTGCCGGCTCCTCCCCTTCAATCCTGCACAGGTGTGCCGGCTCCTCCCCTTCAATCCTGCACAGGTGTACCGGCTCCTCCCCTTCAATCCTGCACAGGTGTACCGGCTCCTCCCCTCCCCTTCAATCCTGCACAGGTGTGCCGGTTGCTCCTCCCCTTCTCCCCTTCAGTCTTGCACAGGTGTACCGGCTCCTCCCCTCCAGTCTTGCACAGGTGTACCGGCTCCTGCACCCTCCAGTCTTGCACAGGTGTACAGGCTCCTCCCCTCCAGTCTTGCACAGGTGTACCGGCTCCTCCCCTTCAATCCTGCACAGGTGTACAGGCTCCTCCCCTTCAATCCTGCACAGGTGTACCGGCTCCTCCCCTTCAATCCTGCACAGGTACCGTAGTCTTGCCGGCAGCTCCTCCCCTTCAATCCTGCACAGGTGTATCGGCTCCTCCCTTTCAATCCTGCACAGGTGTACCGACTCCTCCCCTTGAGTCTTGCACAGGTCTACACAGGTGTAACGGCTCCTCCCCTTCACTCTTGCACAGGTCTACCGGCTCCTCCCCTTCACTCTTGCACAGGTGTGTACTGGTACTCCTCCCCCCTTCAGTCTTGCACAGGTGTACCGGCTCTTCCCCTTCAGTCTTGCACAGGTCTACCGGCTCCTCCCCTTCACTCTTGCACAGGTGTACCGGCTCCTCCCCTTCAGTCTTGCACAGGTGTACCGGCTCCTCCCCTTCAGTCTCGCACAGGTGTACCGGCTCCTCCCCTTCAGTCTTGCACAGGTACAGCAGCTCCTCCCCTGAACTAAAACATCTTTCTCTGATATCACTGCACACTGGAGCATCTCTCAATGTGCATCAGAAGCTACAGCAACTCAGATAGAGCTCCGCCTCATTTCCTGGCTGGGGGACGTCCAGCATCATCCAGTACTTTCCTCCCGTCTCCCCGCCCCTTTCATTCATTGGATTTCAATTCCTCCAATCATGGAGGCTCAGCGTCACATGTGGGCATTTCCAGGAGCTTGTGGGGTTGTCAAGGCTGAAGGTTGCATTCTATGCATAAAGGTAAGAAAGCTTCTCCTGCCCCCCCCCCCCCCACCCCCACCACTCACCTGAGCCCCCTCTCCATCCAGCGATGTGCATGGGAGCCTCAGCTGTCCCGGGTCTCTCTCTCTCTCCTTATTGGCTGACACAGCAGCAGTCACTGGCTCCCACTGCTGTCAATCACAGCCAGTAAGCCAATGAGGAGAGAGCAGGGGGAGGGGCCGAGCTGCAGCTATATTTCTTATGGACGCACAGAGCGGGACTTGGGAGCGAGCACACACCAGAGCCCCCATAGCTAGCAGCTTGCTGGATCAGTGTTACGGAGACTTCCTGTCGGACCAGTTAGGTTGGGCCCAGAGCTGTCCATCCATTCACAGGACGCTTTGTATTTTATCAGTGAATATAAGGTGTCCTCTGACTGGCTGAGGTGGAGAGGCAGCTGGATGATGTCATGATCTCCCCCTCAGCCAATCAGAAGAAGCCTTATATTCATTCAGAAAATGTAAGGCTTCCTGTGAGGATGAGCAGCGCTGTATACTCTACGATTGTTTTTTTAGCTCTCACATGGATGCACTGAGCCATGAGGAGCAGAAAAGAACTGTGAAAAGACCTGTGTAACAAGGTAATGGAACTTTATAAAGATGTAAAAGGATATAAAAAGATATCCAAAGCCTTGAATCTGCCGGTCAGGTCAATCACCTATTAAGAAGTGGAAAATTCCGGGATCTCGATGCCAAGCCAAGGTCAGGCAGGCCAAGAAAGGTGGCAGCCACAACGGCCAGAAGAATTGTCCGGGTTACAATGAAAACCCCCCACAGGAGAAATCCAGGCTGCTCTGGAAAAAGACGGTGTGGTTGTTTCAAGGAGCACAATATGGCGATACTTGAACAAAAATGAGCTGCATGGTGGAGTTGCCAGAAAGAAGCCTTTACTGCCCCAAAGCCCAGTTACAATATGGCCGACAACACTTTGACACGCCTCACAGCTCCTGGCACACTGAAATCTGGAGTGACGAGACCAAAATAGAGATTTATAGTCACAAGCGTAAGCGCCATGTTGGGAGAGGGGTCAACAAGGCCTAAAGGGACAAGAATCCCCACTGTGAAGCATGGTGGTGGCTCACTCAGAGTGTCAGCTCCTCTGGTACAGAGACTGATGTGACTGTCGGGGGGGAGGGGACATTAGAGCGTAAGCTCCTCTGGTCCAGAGACTGATGGGACTGTGGGGGAGGGGACATTAGAGCGTAAGCTCCTCTGGTCCAGAGACTGATGTGCCTGTGGGGGGGAGGAGACATTAGAGCGTAAGTTCCTCTGGTACAGAGATTGATGGGACTGTGGGGGAGGGGACATTAGAGCGTAAGCTCCTCTGGTACAGAGACTGATGTGACTGTGGGGGAGGGGACATTAGAGCGTAAGCTCCTCTGGTACAGAGACTGATGGGACTGTGGGGGAGGGGACATTAGAGCGTAAGCTCCTCTGGTACAGAGACTGATGGGACTGTGGGGGGAGGGGACATTAGAGCGTAAGCTCCTCTGGTACAGAGACTGATGTGACTGTGGGGGGAGGGGACATTAGAGCGTAAGCTCCTCTGGTACAGAGACTGATGGGACTGTGGGGGAGGGGACATTAGAGCGTAAGCTCCTCTGGTACAGAGACTGATGGGACTGTGGGGGAGGGGGCATTAGAGCGTAAGCTCCTCTGGTACAGAGACTGATGGGACTGTGGGGGAGGGGACATTAGAGCGTAAGCTCCTCTGGTACAGAGACTGATGGGACTGTGGGGGAGGGGACATTAGAGCGTAAGCTCCTCTGGTACAGAGACTGATGTGCCTGTGGGGGAGGGGACATTAGAGCGTAAGCTCCTCTGGTACAGAGATTGATGGGACTGTGGGGGAGGGGACATTAGAGCGTAAGCTCCTCTGGTACAGAGACTGATGTGACTGTGGGGGGAGGGGACATTAGAGCGTAAGCTCCTCTGGTACAGAGACTGATGGGACTGTGGGGGAGGGGCATTAGAGCGTAAGCTCCTCAGTACAGAGACTGATGGGACTGTGGGGGAGGGGACATTAGAGCGTAAGCTCCTCTGGTACAGAGACTGATGGGACTGTGGGGGAGGGGACATTAGAGCGTAAGCTCCTCTGGTACAGAGACTGATGGGACTGTGGGGGGAGGGGATATTAGAGCGTAAGCTCCTCTGGTACACAGACTGATGGGACCGGCTCAGTGTTCTCTGTACAGCGCTGCGGTATAGGTCAGAGCTACATAAATATTATATTTGAACACTAACACACATTTTCATAACCAAAGACAATCATTGTTTTATTATTTATTTTTTTACACATCAGAAATGACGGGGGGGGGGGGGGGGGGTGCATTGGATCAACAACTTGTAGGACCGCCCCCGAGGAGCAGACCGGAGTCCCTTCACAAAGTACAAATTCAACTGTTTATCGTTTGTGAAGAAAGGGATTCCCCAATTTCATATTAAAACAACAGATCCCTTCAGCCTCCAACCAGAAACCCAAACTGGCTGATAGCGAGCTCCTTTGTTGATAAACCTGATGACGTCACAAGGGGCGGGGCTGTTCTGACGGTGCTTGTGGGTGTGTCCATGAACAGCTTGCATCATAGACAGTACTGGGGGGGTGCAGGAGAAGTAGGGGCCACGCTGTTGGTTCCGAAGTCCAAAATCATTTACTGCTTCACAAAATCCAATAGGGCAACGCGTTTCATGGAGCTGCCAGGGCTGAATGGGAAGGAATGGTGAACTCCGGAGGACGATGGAATTAGGAGGTCGAACGGTTCCCGGTATAAAATAGGTTGTCCTAATCCAATAATCGTCCAGAGATCACCAAGTATGTCTGAAACCGGCACCTCTACCCCACACCCCCCGGTTATAGATTTACGAAGACTCTAATGCCGGCCATACATGGGTCCAAATTCGGACCTAAGAATAATCAGCCAATCTTCGCTCTGTTACTGGGGTCAATGACACCGGCCGATGTTCGCTCTGTTAGTGGGGTCAATGACACCGGCCGATGTTCGCTCTGTTAGTGGGGTCAATGACACCGGCCGATGTTCGCTCTGTTAGTGGGGTCAATGACACCGGCCGATGTTCGCTCTGTTAGTGGGGTCAATGACACCGGCCGATCTTCGCTCTGTTACTGGGGTCAATGACACCGGCCGATCTTCGCTCTGTTAGTGGGGTCAATGACACCGGCCGATGTTCGCTCTGTTAGTGGGGTCAATGACACCGGCCGATGTTCGCTCTGTTACTGGGGTCAATGACACCGGTCGATCTTCGCTCTGTTAGTGGGGTCAATGACACCGGCCGATGTTCGCTCTGTTAGTGGGGTCAATGACACCGGCCGATCTTCGCTCTGTTAGTGGGGTCAATGACACCGGCCGATCTTCGCTCTGTTAGTGGGGTCAATGACACCGGCCGATCTTCGCTCTGTTAGTGGGGTCAATGACACCGGCCGATGTTCGCTCTGTTAGTGGGGTCAATGACACCGGCCGATGTTCGCTCTGTTAGTGGGGTCAGTGACACCGGACGATTTTCGCTCTCTTAGTGGGGTCGAGGACACTGGCCGATTTTCGTGGCTCCTCGCCTTTTCAGTGATCAGACGTTGGAAAATTCGTGAAAAACACAGATTTTCGACTCAATGATGGTGAAATCGTACGATCGTTTTTCCAAATAAAATATATGCGCCATGAGCCGTGACCCGGAAGGCACAGAAGTTTCGCCTGTTATATGGGGGGAACTTTATGACTCGGTCGGCTGATTTTCGAAATCATCGATGGCAACCAATCGGATTACCGAGCGAAGGACGTTTTTAATTTTCTGACGAAAAATCGCTCGGAATTCGACCCGTGTATGGCCTGCGTAACTCTTTGTAACGCCACCTTTTCAAAAAAATCTGTAAGTGCCGCGACATCGATCTCATGATCGATGAGCATTAACCCGCCGGCCAGAGGCGTAGCTTGGAATTTGTGGCCCCCCCCCCCACCACTACTACCACCCGGGGTTCTACTACTTCTTCCCACTACCCCCGAGGAGGGCGGGCCCTCTGACTTCCAGATTCACATACAAGCGGGGCCGTGGATAAGGGGGGCACCACCAGTCCTCCTATACAGGGCCCCGGCCAGTAGGGGGCCCAGGCAGAAATGGGCAGGGAGGGTGATCGGCACGGCGAGGGGCAATTACTGAAACCAATTAGTACCAATCTTTCACTGTGTTCATTCATAACTGAAGCATAGTAAACTATGGGGGTTTTTTTTTTAGGGGCCCCGTCAGGTTGGCTTTATGGGGCCCCATAGTTTCTAACAGCAACCCTGCATAAAAGACAGCCCATTGTTTTCACCCAGCAGCTCATAGAATGGCCTGCCTGCCCCCACGTGGGGAGGGAGGGACTTGTACTGGGGTAGGCGGGGTTGAGCAGAGAGTGCACCATTGGGGAAAGGGCTTGGCCCCTCACCCTGTGTAGATAATTCAGTAAACTCGGAGGGCCCAGGCCATTTCCTGCTGCCTCGCTTGACAGCAACTCGTTACGGAGCGCTTTACCGGGCAGAGGCGGAGCTTGAGGGGTTGCAGTGGAGACCCCGCCCATTCTCCAGGGGGCCCATGCGACCTCCCTGTTACATTAGGTTCCAAGGGAAAAGCGCTGGCCTTGTCACCCTGTGTAGGTGAAACCGGAAACTCAGAGGGCCCAGGATGGGCTTGAGCGGGCCCCTGCCCAGCTGCCTGAGTTTACTGAATTATCTACGCAGGGTGACAAGGCAAGAGCTTTTCCCTTGGAACCTAATGTAACAGGGAGGCCCCATGGGCCCCCTGGAGAATGGGCGGGGTCACCACTGCAATCCCACAAGCTCCGCCTCTGCCCAATAAAGAGTTGCCGTCAAGAGAGGCAGCAAGAAATGGCCTGGGCCCTCTGAGTTTACTGAATTATCTACGCAGGGTGACAAGGCAAGCACTTTCCCTTGGAACCTAATGTAACAGGGAGGCCGCATGGGCCCCCTGGAGAATGGGTGGGGTCACCACTGCAATCCCTCAAGCTCCGCCTCTTCCCAGTGAAGCAGTAAAGAGCTCCGTATCGAGTTTCCATCAAGAGAGGCATCAGGAAATGCTGCAAAACAGAGAATGGGTGTGGTCGCCATTGCCAGCCCTCAAGCTCCGCCTCTGCCCAGTGAAGCAGTAAAGAGCTCTGTAACGAGTTGCCGTCAAGCGAGACAGTGGGAAACGCTGCAAAACAGAGAATGGGTGTGGTGACCATTGCCAGCCCTCAAGCTCTGCCTTTGCCCAGTGACGCAGTAAAGAGCTCCTTAAAGAGTTGCCATCAAGCGAGGCAGCAGGAAATGCTGCAAAACAAAATGGGTGTGGTCGTCATTGGCAGCCCTCAAGCTCCGCCTTTGCCCAGCGACGCAGTAAAGAGCTCCGTAACAAGTTGCCATCAAGCGAGGCAGCGGGAAACGCTGCAAAACAGAGAATGGGTGTGGTCGCCATTGCCAGCCCTCAAGCTCCGCCTTTGCCCAGTGACGCAGTAAAGAGCTCCGTAACAAGTTGCCATCAAGCGAGGCAGCGGGAAACGCTGCAAAAATTCTTTGGTAAATCTAGGAAAATAAAACTTTATTTCCCATTTTATTCCCTCAAAAAAATATTTGTATCCGTTATAAAACGCCGGCACCTTTCACCGCCAATGTACAGCCGGAGATTTACTAATTATTCAAAATGAATGGAGAGACGGACCAATGGCACGGAGCCGTGAGCACCAATGACAATGCAGAGCGCAGTTACCCATAGCAACCAGATTCACAAAGTGGCGTTCCGATTGGCTGCCGCACTCTGCAGCTGAGGGAACGAGCATCAAGTCATGGCCTTGTCCTGATGGCTGATTGGGAATTGCATCTGGTGTTCTCTGCTTTATAATCCATCCTAACGAGAAAAAAAAAAAAAATAACACGAAATCAGAAGAAAAACGCAACAAAAAACGCCGACGGAAGAGTCACTTTTTCAGCGCGCCCCGGCTTTATTCTTCACGTCCTCTTCGCTGCCCTGAGAGAGGCGGAGTTTTCCCATCCCAACGACCAATCAGCTGTTGTATAACGGAACCACCCTAGAAATGGCGTTCCGGCACACGGGGCACTTTTTGGGCGAGGGCAGAGCCTGGTAGCACTGGTAGCAGGAGCAGACATGGCCGCACTCCAGGAAGACGGAGGATTTCTGGTTGGCCAGGCAGATGATGCAGGTGTTGCGGGCCTCCTCCGCCGCGTCGTCTCCCAGCCTCGCCCTCGCATCTTCGAATTCCCGCTGGAGCCTCTTGAGGCGCCGCTTCTCCTTGTACTGCTTGTAGTGGCGTCTCAGGATGAAGAAGAGGGTGACGCAGGTGGCCACGCCGCACAGCAGGCACAGCACCTTCCACACGCGGACCTGAGACTCTTGTCTTTGCACCAAGGACTGGAAGTCCAGCTTGCTCAGGTAGTACTGCATGCCGGCCTTGGGGGGCTGGAGTTTGATGGTCTTATTGTCCAAGACGAGCTCGCCCACCCCCGTCACCGTCGCCCCGATCCTCAGCATCTCCTCCGTCTCCTGGACCCCCTTGGGGCGCTCGCCGGTCAGGAGGTGTCCCAGGGCGTTGGTGAAGGACTGCACGGTGGGGTGGAATTTCTCGTAGACGGTCTCCAAGTCCAACTCGGTGGCTTCTAAAGGCTTCATGACTCGGACGGCGAGGTCCCCTGCATCGGCGTCCTCCGGGGTGAGGTCAAAGGGCACCGTGTTGGTTCTCTGGTGGATGACCTTCTCGTGGTCGTTCCTAGGAAGAAAGGTCAAAGCCTTAAAATGGTACCAAGGCGTCTGATAGCCGCAGTCGTGCCTGATGCCCCTCCCCCCGCCCCGCCCCCTGAGAAGTGTCACCGTACTATCCGTCTGATAGAAAACAGAGCGGCCGTGAGGGACTCAGTCCACAGACCTGCACCGCTCATTCACAGTTCTGTGAGGGAGTCCCTACAAGTCCCAGCAGCCTTAGCGGGTGTAGGATTGTAGTGTTCAAAGAACTACCACGGCGGTGTGGAGCCCCATAGTAGTTCACTGAAGATTCCGGTCAGAATATCTGCTGGACTGTACAACCCCGTACTTCCCATACACCCCGTATATCCCATACACCCCGTACACCCCGTACTTCCCGTACACACCCCGTACACCCCATACATCCCATACACCCCGTACATCCCCTACACCCCGTACATCCCCTACACCCCGTACTTCCCCTACACCCCGTACTTCCCGTACTTCCCATACACCCCGTACTTCCCCTACACCCCGTACACCCCCTACACCCCGTACTTCCCATACACCCCGTACATCCCCATACACCCCGTACATCCCCATACACCCCGTACATCCCCATACACCCCGTACATCCCCATACACCCCGTACATCCCCATACACCCCGTACATCCCCATACCCCGTACATCCCCATACACCCCGTACATCCCCATACACCCCGTACATCCCCATACACCCCGTACATCCCCATACACCCCGTACATCCCCATACACCCCGTACATCCCCATACACCCCGTACATCCCATACACCCCGTACATCCCCATACACCCCGTACATCCCCATACACCCGGTACATCCCATACACCCCGTACATCCCATACACCCCGTACATCCCATACACCCCGTACATCCCATACACCCCGTACATCCCCATACACCCCGTACATCCCATACACCCGTACATCCCCATACACCCCGTACATCCCATACACCCCGTACATCCCATACACCCCGTACATCCCATACACCCCGTACATCCCCATACACCCCGTACATCCCCATACACCCCGTACATCCCCATACACCCCGTACATCCCCATACACCCCGTACATCCCCATACACCCCGTACATCCCCATACACCCCGTACATCCCCATACACCCCGTACATCCCATACACCCCGTACATCCCCATACACCCCGTACATCCCATACACCCCGTACATCCCCATACACCCCGTACATCCCATACACCCCGTACATCCCATACACCTCGTACATCCCCATACACCCCGTACATCCCATACACCCCGTACATCCCATACACCTCGTACATCCCATACACCCCGTACGGCAAACAGATATACTGACAGGTCTGCAGGAGACCTGCATGGCACTAGCCATCTACTGATCACTGGTGCAATGCTTTCCAGGCTCCTTTGGACAAAAATAATAAATGTACATTTGTTTACCTTCAAAAAAAAAACCGTGCATTTATTATTTTTGTCGAAAAGGTGAACTTATCCTTTAAGGCGAGTATCGCTGTTATGGTGATCTCCTGCAGCTGTCCACAAAGTAGGGAGGAGGCGGAGCTCAGGCACAGAGTCCTCCATGCAGATAGGCGGGGTCACTGCAGTGTGTACAAACCCTCTGCTGATGCAATATGGGAGTCTGGCGATTCGGGGGAAGCTGAGGGGTTCGCTGTGGGACTCACCAGAGGTGCGTGGTTCGGTTCCACACCATCTTGTGCTCCTTCAGGGACAGTCTGTGGATCACACCTTTATAGTTGTCCATAAACTGACTGGTGAGGGAATCCTTCGCGGCTCGCACCACCCCTGAAATATAGAAATCGCACCGTCAAGGCCGGGAGAGGAGGGTGCGCTCAGCACTATACAGGAGGACCGGTCAGAAAACCAGCAGAGATGGTCGTACAGCTCAACCCCAGATTAACGGGATTTAAATATTTGGTTTGTATTAACCAATTCCTGTCCGGCTGCTGTATATAAAACGGCCAGATGGTGGCAGTGCAAGTTGCCGTTCATAAACGGCGTCCACCATCCTGGAGTGTGCAGGCTTCCTGGGAGTGCGCGGCACTGCGATCCGGTGCCCGCTGTGTCCAAACACCGATCTCTGTACGGGACCCTGATCATGTGATCACTGATTGGCCAATCAGTGATCACTTGCAGAGTAGTAAGCAAGATGTCACTTCTGACATCATTGCTTACTACGTGTGAAATCTGTGAATGATCACAGAGGTCACATGGTACAGGGCCATTCACAACAGCCTTGTACCATGTGACAAGCTGTGACCAATCACAGCTCCCACAGTATTTCTCAATGGCTGCAGGAGTGCAGCCAGAGAGAAGGAGAAATGATTCCTCTTGCAGCCTTTATGGCTGTAAAAGCAATCAGTGTAAAAAAAAAAAAATCCTCATCACCCCCCACAAGTAATAGTGTCACTATGGTGACCCTGTACTGCTAGGGTGACGGTATGTTAAAAAAAATAATATAAAAAAATTAAAATGTAAAAAATGTTTTTTTAAAAATTATAATTTTTGGTTATAAACTAATTTGGGTTTTTTTTTTTTTTTTACTAAAAAGATAAAATGAATAAATGTTGGCCGAGATTTATGAAGAAAGATTATTTCTTTGCAAAATTTTTATAAGAAAAACACTTTTTTTTCAAAATGTTTGGACTTTTTCATAAAGGTGTCCTTTTATGACACAGAGAATAGCTGCGATTCAACGGATCTCAGCTATTCTCTGGTCATTCACAGTTTATGACACTCAGGAGATCAGGTCAGCCCTTCGCTGGAGAATCGGAGGGACCGCAAACTAAGCAGCGATAATTTACCTCTGTTAGTAAACTCATCTTTTACTGTAATCTCGCGAGATTATAGTAAAATCAGCCGTTTTCCAGCGTTTGGAGAACTGCTTCATAAACTGCATTCACAGGAGAACTGAGCAGAGATCTATTACCGCTGGTTCATAAACGGACACCTTATATAGCAAAAAAAAATTTAAATCCCAGCGGTGAATAAATACCACCAAAATGAAGCTTTATCTGTCTCAAAAAAATTCATACGGGTACAGTGTTGCATGACCGCGCAATTGTCATTTAAAGTGTGATAACGCTGAAAGCTGAAAATTGGCCTGGACTGGAAGGGGGGGGGAAAGCGTCCGGACCGGAAGAGGGGGGGAAGCGTCCGGACTGGAAGGGGGGGGGAAAGCGTCCGGACCGGAAGGGGGGGGGGAAAGCGTCCGGACCGGAAGGGGGGGGGAAAGCGTCCGGACCGGAAGGGGGGGGGGGGGCGTCCGGACCGGAAGGGGGGGGGAAAGCGTCCGGACCGGAAGGGGGGGGGAAAGCGTCCGGACCGGAAGGGGGGGGGGGAAAGCGTCCGGACCGGAAGGGGGGGGGGGGGAAAGCGTCCGGACCGGAAGGGGGGGGGGGGAAAGCGTCCGGACCGGAAGGGGGGGGGGGGGAAAGCGTCCGGACCGGAAGGGGGGGGGGGGAAAGCGTCCGGACCGGAAGGGGGGGGGGAAAGCGTCCGGACCGGAAGGGGGGGGGGGGAAAGCGTCCGGACCGGAATGGGGGGGGGGGGGAAAGCGTGCCCGGACCGGAAGGGGGGGGGGGGAAAGCGTCCGGACCGGAAGGGGGGGGGGGGGAAAGCGTCCGGACCGGAAGGGGGGGGGGGGGGGAAGCGTCCGGACCGGAAAGGAAAGCGTCCGGACCGGGGGGGGGGAAAGCGTCCGGACCGGAAGGGGGGGGGGAAGCGTCCGGACCTGGAGGGGGGGGGGGGGGGACCGGAAGGGGGGGGGAAAGCGTCCGGACCGGAAGGGGGGGGGTGGAAAGCGTCCGGACCGGAAGGGGGGGGAAAGCGTCTGGACCGGAAGGGGGGGAAAGCGTCTGGACCGGAAGGGGGGGGGAAAGCGTCTGGACCGGAAGGGGGGGGAAAGCGTCTTCCGGACCGGAAGGGGGGGAAAGCGTCTGGACCGGAAGGGGGGGGAAAGCGTCTGGACCGGAAGGGGGGGGGGGAAAGCGTCTGGACCGGAAGGGGGGGGGAAAGCGTCCGGACTGGAATGGGGGGGGGGTCCGGGGGGGAAAGTGTCCGGACCGGAATGGGGGGGGGGGGGGGGAAAGCGTCCGGACCGGAAGGGGGGGGGGGTAAGCGTCCGGACCAGAAGGGGGGGGGGAAAGCGTCCGGGGGGGGGGGAAAGGGGGGGGGGGGGGGGGGGAGTGTCTGGACTGGAATGTTCCGGGGGGGGGGGGGGGGGGAGTGTCTGGACTGGAATGGGGGGGGGGGGGGGCTGTGTCCGGACTGCAAGGGGGGTTTGGAAGTGGAAGTGTGACTGGTGCTCCTCTGTCCACGTTACCACGTCTGCCATTTCATGGACAGTAGGTCAGAACAAAGAGCCAACGTGCAATTCTGCAAGAAACCGGTAAAATCTGCCGCATAGAAGGTTGAGGCGTTTTGATTGGCCAGAGCGGAAGGACATCACTGGAAGACGACGAGAGATCAGGAAGACCGTCAACGAGCTCAACCTCCAAAAACGCGTGACTTTTGGCACGCAATTACGTGGCGCTCTGTGTCAAAGGGGCAATACTGACCATATCACCCTGATACAGGAAGTGCCCTAAAAGCGATCAGCGTACCTTCAATGACGGCGTACGGGACGCACTTCCCGGGAAGGTCCATGAGGATGTTCTGCAAGTCGTGGTCCAGAGAGATTTTCTTGGCTCCCTTAAAGAAAAAAACATTTGTTCATCGGAACCATCATATCTGGCATCCCAGAGAATTCTGGGTAATGGGGCTTTTTTTTTGGGGTGGCTCATACAGAGGACAGCAATGGTGTCCATAGATACACACACTATATATATATATACACACAGGTGGAACTGGAACAATGAGAATCTGGTGCATTCCTTCATTCATTCATTCATTCATTGATTTCAGTGCAGCAACTTAAAAGGTGACACTAATATATGAGACTCATTCCATGCAAAGCAAGATAGTTCCAGCCGTGATTTGTCATCATTGTGATGATTATGGCTTACAGCTCATGAAAACCCCAAATCCACAATCTCAGAAAATGAGAATAATGTGAAAGGGTGGAATAATCTCGGCTCAAAGTGTCCCACTCTAATCAGCTCATTCAGCCATAACACCTGCAAAGGGTTCCTGAGCCTTTCAATGGTCTCTCAGTCTGGTTCAGTAGGAATCCCAATCATGGGAAAGACTGCTGACCTGACACCATCACTGACACCCTCCATAAGGAGGGAAAGCCTCAAAAGGGAATTGCAGAAGAAGTTGGATGTTCCCAAAGTGCTGTATCAAAGCACATTAATAGAAAGTTATGAAAATTAAAAGAGAGTATGGAGGAAGAATGGAGAGGCCCAAGGACCCCGAGTATGGTGGAAGAAGCAGAGAGGCCCAAGGACCCCGAGTATGGAGGAAGAATGGAGAGGCCCAAGGACCCCAGTATGGAGGAAGAATGGAGAGGCCCAAGGACCCCACGTATGGAGGAAGAATGGAGAGGCCCAAGGAGTCAGAGTATCAAGAATGGAGAGGCCCAAGGACCCCAGTATGGAGGAAGAATGGAGGGCCCAAGGACCCCACGTATGGAGGAAGAATGGAGAGCCCAAGGACCCCAGTATGGAGGAAGAATGGAGAGGCCCAAGGACCCCGAGTATGGAGGAAGAATGGAGAGGCCCAAGGACCCCGAGTATGGAGGAAGAATGGAGAGCCCAAGGACCCCGAGTATGGAGGAAGAATGGAGAGGCCCAAGGACCCCGAGTATGGAGGAAGAATGGAGAGGCCAAGGAAGGATGAGGAAGAATGGAGAGGCCCAAGGACCCCGAGTATGGAGGAAGAATGGAGAGGCCCAAGGACCCCGAGTATGGAGGAAGAATGGAGAGGCCCAAGGACCCGAGTATGGAGGAAGAATGGAGAGGCCCAAGGACCCCACGTATGGAGGAAGAATGGAGAGGCCCAAGGACCCCGAGTATGGAGGAAGAATGGAGAGGCCAAGGACCCGAGTATGGAGGAAGAATGGAGAGGCCCAAGGACCCTGAGTATGGAGGAAGAATGGAGAGGCCCAAGGACCCCGAGTATGGAGGAAGAATGGAGAGGCCCAAGGACCCAAAGTATCAAGGAAGAATGGAGAGGCACAAGGGCCCCGAGTATGGAGGAAGAATGGAGAGGCCCAAGGACCCCGAGTATGGAGGAAGAATGGAGAGGCCCAAGGACCCCGAGTATGGAGGAAGAATGGAGAGGCCCAAGGACCCCGAGTATGGAGGAAGAATGGAGAGGCCAAGGACCCCGAGTATGGAGGAAGAATGGAGAGGCCAAGGACCCCGAGTATGGAGGAAGAATGGAGAGGCCCAAGGACCCCGAGTATGGAGGAAGAATGGAGAGGCCCAAGGACCCCGAGTATGGAGGAAGAATGGAGAGGCACAAGGACCCCGAGTATGGAGGAAGAATGGAGAGGCCCAAGGACCCCGAGTATGGAGGAAGAATGGAGAGGCCCAAGGACCCCGAGTATGGAGGAAGAATGGAGAGGCCCAAGGACCCCGAGTATGGAGGAAGAATGGAGAGGCCCAAGGACCCCGAGTATGGAGGAAGAATGGAGAGGCCCAAGGACCCAGAGTATGGAGGAAGAATGGAGAGGCCCAAGGACCCCGAGTATGGAGGAAGAATGGAGAGGCCCAAGGACCCCGAGTATGGAGGAAGAATGGAGAGGCCCAAGGACCCCGAGTATGGAGGAAGAAACGGAGAGGCCCAAGGACCCCGAGTATGGAGGAAGAATGGAGAGGCCCAAGGACCCCGAGTATGGAGGAAGAATGGAGAGGCCCAAGGACCCCGAGTATGGAGGAAGAATGGAGAGGCCAAGGACCCAGAGTATGGAGGAAGAATGGAGAGGCCCAAGGACCCGAGTATGAGGAAGAATGGAGAGGCCCAAGGACCCCGAGTATGGAGGAAGAATGGAGAGGCCCAAGGACCCAGAGTATGAGGAAGAATGGAGAGGCCCAAGGACCCAGAGTATGGAGGAAGAATGGAGAGGCCCAAGGACCCGAGTATGGAGGAAGAATGGAGAGGCCCAAGGACCCCGAGTATGGAGGAAGAATGGAGAGGCCCAAGGACCCCGAGTATGGAGGAAGAATGGAGAGGCACAAGGACCCCGAGTATGGAGGAAGAATGGAGAGGCACAAGGACCTCGAGTATGGAGGAAGACTTGGAGAGCCCACACCCAAGGACCCCGAGTATGGAGGAAGAATGGAGAGGCCCAAGGACCCGAGTATGGAGGAAGAATGGAGAGGCCCAAGGCCCCGAGTATGGAGGAAGATGGAGAGGCCCAAGGACCCCGAGTATGGAGGAAGAATGGAGAGGCACAAGGACCCCGAGTATGGAGGAAGAATGGAGAGGCCCAAGGACCCGAGTATGGAGGAAGAATGGAGAGGCCCAAGGACCCCAGTATGGAGGAAGAATGGAGAGGCCCAAGGGACCCCGAGTATGGAGGAAGAATGGAGAGGCCCAAGGACCCCAGAGGAGGGAAGAATGGAGAGGCCACAAGGACCCCGAGTATGGAGGAAGAATGGAGAGGCCCAAGGACCCCGAGTATGGAGGAAGAATGGAGAGGCCCAAGGACCCCGAGTATGGAGGAAGAATGGAGAGGCACACACTGCAAGATGCTTGAAGTCCAGTGTGAAGTTTCCACAGTCTGTGTTGATTTTGGGGAGCCATGTCATCTGCTGGGTGTTGGTCCACTGTGCTTCATTAAGTCCAGGGTCCCCGCAGCCGTCTACCAGGAGATTTTGGAGCACTTCATGCTTCCTTCCACAGACAGCTTTATGGGGATGCTGACTTCATTTTCCAGCAGGACTTGGCTCCGCCCACACTGCCAAAAGCACCAAAACCCTGGTTCAATGACCGTGGGATTACTGTGCTTGATTGGCCAGCAAACTCGCCTGACCTGAACCCCATAGAGAATCTATGGGGCATTGCCAAGAGAAAGATGAGAGACATGAGACCGAACAATGCAGAAGAGCTGAAGGCCGCTATTGAAGCATCCTGGTCTTCCATAACACCTCAGCAGTGCCACAGGCTGATAGCTTCCATGCCACGCCGCATTGAGGCAGTAATTGCTGCAAAAGGGGCCCCAACCAAGTACTGAGTACATATGCAGCTTCTACTTCTCAGAGGTGCGATATTGTTCTATGTACAATCCGTGTTTTATTGATTGCATGGAATATTCTCATTTTCTGAGATTGTGGATTTGGGGTTTTCATGAGCTGGAAGCCATAATCATCACAATGATGACAAATCACGGCTGGAACTATCTTGCTTTGCATGGAATGAGTCTCATATATTAGTGTCACCTTTTAAGTTGCTGCACTGAAATCAATGAATGAATGAATGAATGAATGCACCAGATTCTCATTGTTCCAGTTTCACCTTTATGTGTTTAAAGACATTATTAATATATTTATGATTTTATTGCTGCACCTATTTATATATTACGATTTTATCCCGAGGGTTGTATATTGGTTACCTTTGGTGTTCTAGCTGCTAATAGAGAGCTAATAGAGAGCTGATAGAGGGCTGATAGAGGGCTGATAGAGGGCTGATAGAGGGCTGATAGAGGGCTGATAGATAGGGCTGATAGAGGGCTGATAGAGGGCTGATAGAGGGCTGATAGAGGGCTGATAGAGAGCTGATAGAGAGCTGATAGAGGGCTGATAGAGGGCTGATAGAGGGCTAATAGAGGGCTGATAAAGAGCTAATAGAGGGCTAATAGAGGGCTGATAGAGGGCTGATAGAGGGAGGGCTAATAAAGAGCTAATAGAGGGGCTAATAGAGAGCTGATAGAGAGCTGATAGAGCTGCTAATAGAGAGCTAATATAGAGGGCTGATAGAGAGCTGATAGAGAGGCTGATAGAGAGCTGATAGAGAGCTGATAGAGAGCTAATAGAGAGCTAATAGAGGGCTGATAGAGAGCTGATAGAGGGCTAATAAAGAGCTAATAGAGGGCTAATAGAGAGCTGATAGAGAGCTGATAGAGAGCTAATAGAGAGCTGATAGAGAGCTGATAGAGAGCTAAGAGGGCGCTCACGTTTCCATTGTATCTCTATTACGACTTCAGGAGCGACTTGCATTGTCCTCGGTGTCCCGAGAGCCGCAGATGTCCTGCAAGTCGCACCTCACGCCAGAAAAACACATCCGACTGAAGTCGCGCGTCTTCACTGGAAGTCACATGACTTCAACGTCGGATCAGTGTGACCGGGGTGTCAATAGGGACATGTGCGTTCCACTGCATTTTTGGTGCGTTTTACCACATTTCAGTGCAGGAAAAATGCCGCCTGTTCTACTTTTTTTTTTTTCTGCATCCGGAACTGCGAGCGCTGATGTGAACGATGACACCGACCGCCGTATCACCGACTTTCTGTGCGTTCTGGATGCAACTGAAACGCATGGAGTGTGAACCGGCCCCTGCAGAGGTGGGTCTGGCACTAGAATTACTGCCTGTGATCTGACGGTCGCGGCGATACCTCCCATGTGCGGGACGATTGTGCATGCTAGAACGACGCGTGCGTTCACCTTTGCGTGCATGGGGAGGGGGCAAGGGGCACTTTATTCATTTTTTTTTTTTTTTTTTTTTTTTTTTTTTTAACTGTTGCTTTTTTTTTTTTATTACTGTTTTTTTTTTTATCACTTTTATTGCTGTGACAAGGAATATAAACATCCCGTGACAGCAATAGTCAGGTGACAGGTCCTCTTTATGGAGGGATCTGGGGGGTCCCAAATCCCTCCTCTGCGCTTGAAAACACCCAGATCACCGTTTTTGAACGCTTTCAGATTGTTAAAAAATGGCGCGGAAAGTTTCCGAGTAAACAGGAAGTGATGTCGGCTCGTCGCTCCCGGCTTACAATGAAGAACAGCCGACCGAAGCCGGATTTATTCGGCCAGGGGACACGCCGGTTGGTTGCTCAAGGCCCCCAGTGGGTTGGGAGACCCCGGGAGGCACTGTTCCTGCTTGAAGCGGCCATTTTTGCTGAAGCCCAGAGCCCCCGAGCAGCAGTAAATCTTTAGGCTGCCAGCAGATCGGCCGAAACATCGAGAGCAACTGAGCATGTGCAGAGCGGGGTGAGACAGTGTATGAAACATGGGCACATTACAGGCCCCGCCCCTTTCATTGGTAGTCGGTTTTTGCAGCCGAAGTCCCCGATCCCGGGTCCTAGTGAGGAGGAAACAGATCCTATAGCCGGGATTACGGCAGGAGGAGTCCTGACCTTCAGCGTCTGCGCGGTGCGGTACTTGTGGCGGTACACCGTGTAGAAGATGGCGGTGATGGCGGAACTGGAGGCCAGGAGGATGATCTGCCCCAGGCTGGGCCGCTCCATGTCTGCGGAGAAAAGAGGGAGCGGGGTCAGCGACAACCTTCCACACAAATCACTGGGGGCCCCTTCACACGGATCGGGCACCTCCAACTGCCCCGTAATAAAAATCCTGCCCCGCCCCCGAAGAAATACGACACAGCTGATTGGTTCCTGTGTTGTAGTGTGTCAATGTCATGGAAGTCAATGCATGGCAACACACATGAAATGAAGGGTTGTCACTGAGGAGGGTTGTCATTGAGGAGAGTTTTCACTACTAAGGTTGTCACTGAGGAGGGTTGTCATTGAGGAGAGTTTTCACTACTAAGGTTGTCACTGAGGAGGGTTGTCACTTCTAAGGTTGTCACTGAGGAGGGTTGTCACTTCTAAGGTTGTCACCGGGGAGCGTTGTCACTAGTAAGGTTGTCACCGGGGAGTGTTGTCACTAGAAAGGTTGTCACCGGAGAGTGTTGTCACTAGTAAGGTTGTCACCGGGGAGTGTTGTCACTAGAAAGGTTGTCACCGGGGAGTGTTGTCACTAGTAAGGTTGTCACCGGAGAGTGTTGTCACCAGTAAGGTTGTCACCGGAGAGTGTTGTCACTAGTAAGGTTGTCACCGGAGAGTGTTGTCACCAGTAAGGTTGTCACCGGAGAGTGTTGTCACTAGTAAGGTTGTCACCGGGGAGTGTTGTCACCAGTAAGGTTGTCACCGCGGAGTGTTGTCACTAGTAAGGTTGTCACGGAGAGTGTTGTCACTAGTAAGGTTGTCACCGGAGAGTGTTGTCACCAGTAAGGTTGTCACCGGAGAGTGTTGTCACTAGTAAGGTTGTCACCGGGGAGTGTTGTCACTAGTAAGGTTGTCACCAGAGAGTGTTGTCACCAGTAAGGTTGTCACCGGAGAGTGTTGTCACTAGTAAGGTTGTCACCGCGGAGTGTTGTCACCAATAAGGTTGTCACCGCGGAGTGTTGTCACTAGTAAGGTTGTCACCGGAGAGTGTTGTCACCAGTAAGGTTGTCACCGGAGAGTGTTGTCACCAGTAAGGTTGTCACCGCGGAGTGTTGTCACTAGAAAGGTTGTCACCGGGGAGTGTTGTCACTAGAAAGGTTGTCACCGGGGAGTGTTGTCACCAATAAGGTTGTCACCGGAGAGTGTTGTCACTAGTAAGGTTGTCACCGGAGAGTGTTGTCACCAGTAAGGTTGTCACCGCGGAGTGTTGTCACTAGAAAGGTTGTCACCGGGGAGTGTTGTCACCAGTAAGGTTGTCACCGGGGAGTGTTGTCACTAGAAAGGTTGTCACCGCGGAGTGTTGTCACTAGTAAGGTTGTCACCGGAGAGTGTTGTCACTAGAAAGGTTGTCACCCCGCGGAGTGTTGTCACTAGAAAGGTTGTCACCCGCGGAGTGTTGTCACCAATAAGGTTGTCACCGGAGAGTGTTGTCACCAGTAAGGTTGTCACCGGAGAGTGTTGTCACTAGAAAGGTTGTCACCGGGGAGTGTTGTCACCAGTAAGGTTGTCACCGCGGAGTGATGTCACTAGAAAGGTTGTCACCGCGGAGTGTTGTCACCAATAAGGTTGTCACCGCGGAGTGTTGTCACCAGTAAGGTTGTCACCGGAGAGTGTTGTCACCAGTAAGGTTGTCACCGGAGAGTGTTGTCACTAGAAAGGTTGTCACCGGAGAGTGTTGTCACCAGTAAGGTTGTCACCGGGGAGTGTTGTCACCAGTAAGGTTGTCACCGGGGAGTGTTGTCACTAGTAAGGTTGTCACCGGAGAGTGTTGTCACCAGTAAGGTTGTCACCGGGGAGTGTTGTCACTAGTAAGGTTGTCACCGGAGAGTGTTTGTCACCAGTAAGGTTGTCACGGGGAGTGTTGTCACTAGTAAGGTTGTCACCGGAGAGTGTTGTCACTAGTAAGGTTGTCACCGGAGAGTGTTGTCACTAGTAAGGTTGTCACCGGAGAGTGTTGTCCAGTAAGGTTGTCAGAGTGTTGTCACCAGTAAGGTTGTCACCGGGGAGTGAGGTCACCAGTAAGGTTGTCACCGGGGAGTGTTGTCACCAGTAAGGTTGTCACCGGGGAGTGTTGTCACCGGAGAGTGTTGTCACTAGAAAGGTTGTCACCGGGGAGTGTTGTCACCAGTAAGGTTGTCACCGGGGAGTATTGACACTAGTAAGGTTGTCACTGGGGAGTGTTGTCACTTCTAAGGTTGTTACTGAGGAGTGTTGTCACCAGGAAGCGTTTTCACCAGCGAGGGTTGTCATTGAGGAGCATTGTCACTTGGGAGGGTTGTTACTGAGGAGGGTAGTCACTGGGGAGGGTTGTCACTGATATTGATGAGGTCTGCGGGGAACTATATAGAAGGTAATGTGTGAGGGGGAGGGGGGTCAGGTTGGTGACAACACTCAGGGCTTCAGCTGAAGATCTTTAATAGAGGACCCCCCTCTCCCGGGTCACCGCCATGTCTGCCCGGAGGGAGGAGGGGAGATCATTATAATGAGCCATCCCTCCCCCTCCTCTGTCCGGGCACCCTCACCCGCCACCTCTTCTCCTCCACACTCACTTCCTGGTCGAAGCTTGGCGCGGCCTGATGATGTCACTCCGGAGACGGTTTCACTCGGGAGTGGGCGGGGTTTAACGCAGAGGTGCAGAAATCCTGTGTCCCGGGGTAACTTCTGGGTGGGAGGGGCTGAGAAGGTTGTCACCGGAAATAGTTGTCACTTAGAAGAGCTTTTACTGAGGAGGGTTGTCACCACAAAGTTTTGTCACTGAGACAGTGCAGTGACATCAGAGGAAGGCAGGGGAGGAGCCAGTACACCTGAGACTGAAGGGGAGGAGCCAGTACACCTGAGACTGAAGGGGAGGAGCCAGTACACCTGAGACTGAAGGGGAGGAGCCAGAACACCTGAGACTGAAGGGGAGGAGCCAGAACACCTGAGACTGAAGGGGAGGAGCCAGTACACCTGTGCGAGACTGAAGGGGAGGAGCCAGTACACCTGAAACTGAAGGGGAGGAGCCGGCACAACTGTGCGAGACTGAAGGGGAGGAGCCGATACACCTGTGCGAGACTGGATGGGAGGAGCCAGTACACCTGTGCGAGACTGGATGGGAGGAGCCAGTACACCTGTGCGAGACTGGAGGGGAGGAGCCGATACACCTGTGCAAGACTGAAGGGGAGGAGCCGGTACACCTGTGCAAGACTGAAGGGGAGGGGCCAGTACACCTGCGTGAGACTGAAGGGGAGGAGCCGGTACACCTGTGCGAGACTGAAGGGGAGGAGCCGGTACACCTGCGCAAGACTGAAGGGGAGGAGCTGGCACACCTGCGCGAGACTGAAGGGGAGGAGCCGGCACACCTGCGCGAGACTGAAGGGGAGGAGCCGGCACACCTGTGTAGGACTGAAGTGTAGGACTGAAGGGGAGGAGCCGGCACACCTGCGCGAGACTGAAGGGGAGGAGCCGGTACACCTGTGCGAGACTGAAGGGGAGGAGCCGGTACACCTGTGCGAGACTGAAGGGGAGGAGCCGGTACACCTGTGCGAGACTGAAGGGGAGGAGCCGGCACACCTGTGCGACTGAGGTGGAGCCAGAAGGAGGATTGAGGTCCCAGGGGGTGAAACATGTCATATATATGTATATAGCGGAGGTCGCCCCCGATCGCGGTTCCTGCGACGCTTTGATCTCTGAACACAGAAGCTGCGGAATGAAGACGGAGAGAACATTTTATATAATCATTTCTCTCCTCCCGGCAGTTTCCATGGCAGCGTTATGAAGTTGGTTGCTTGACATCATTTTCAGAAGTTTAGTTACCGTAGAAACCGTGCGCAGCGCGTTATATATAGAAAGTTTTCTGACTGCGCGGCGTCATTCACATTCATTCCATGGGGGGGGCGTTTGAATTATTAAACGTATTACAAGATGTTGGCTGTTCTGGGCGCTAGGTTGGGGGGGGGGGTAGTGATCGGTGGGATGGCGGGATGCAGCGATCGGTGGGATGGCGGGATGCAGCGATCGGTGGGATGGCGGGATGCAGCGATCGGTCGGATGGCGGGATGTAGCGATCGGTGGGATGGCGGGATGCAGCGATCGGTGGGATGGCGGGATGCAGCGATCGGTCGGATGGCGGGATGCAGCGATCGGTCGGATGGCGGGATGCAGCGATCGGTGGGATGGCGGGATGCAGCGATCGGTCGGATGGCGGGATGCAGCGATCAGGTTGGATGGCGGGATGCAGCGATCGGTGGGATGGCGGGATGTAGCGATCGGTGGGATGGCGGGACGCAGCGATCGGTGGGATGGCGGGACGCAGCGATCGGTGGGATGGCGGGATGCAGCGATCGGTGGGATGGCGGGATGTAGCGATCGGTGGGATGGCGGGATGCAGCGATCGGTTGGGATGGCGGGATGCAGCGATCGGTGGGATGGCGGGATGTAGCGATCGGTGGGATGGCGGGACGCAGCGATCGGTGGGATGGCGGGACGCAGCAGCGATCGGTGGGATGGCGGGACGCAGCGATCGGTGGGATGGCGGGATGTAGCGATCGGTGGGATGGTGGGATGTAGCGATCGGTGGGATGGCGGGATGCAGCGATCGGTCGGATGGGATGGCGGGATGCATGCGATCGGTGGGATGGCGGGATGTAGCGATCGGTGGGATGGCGGGATGCAGCGATTGGTGGGATGGCGGGATGCAGCGATCGGTCGGATGGCGGATGCAGCGATCGGTCGGATGGCGCGATGCAGCAGCGATCGGTGGGATGGCGGGATGCAGCGATCGGTGGGATGGCGGGATGCAGCGAGCGGATGGCGGGATGCAGCGATCGGTCGGATGGCGGGATGCAGCGATGGTCGGATGGCGGGATGCAGCGATCGGTGGGATGGCGGGATGTAGCGATCGGTGGGATGGCGGGATGCGTAGCGATCGGTGGGATGGCGGGATGCAGCGATCGGTGGGATGGCGGGATGTAGCGATCGTGGGATGGGGGGGATGGCGGGATGCAGCGATCGGTGGGATGGCGGGATGCAGCGATCGGTGGGATGGCGGGATGTAGCGATCGGTGGGATGGCGGGATGCAGTGATTGGTGGGATGGCGGGATGTAGCGATCTATTGGACGGTGGGATGCTGCTGATACCTGCAGTCTGTACATTACATACAACTGACCCCTGCGCTCTGTATGTTACATACAACTGACCCCGGCACCCTGTGAGTGATCTGATCTGGAATATGTCGCCCTGTGTACTGCTGGAGGACTCTGCTCCTTCCTCTCAGTGAAGGGAGCTCATTGCTGAATACAAAGTGACATCCCCAGTACAGGGGAGACAAGAGCCAATCACAGTGATTGATGATTTGTGATCGATCGTTCCCCATTTGTTACATTGTTGGATTGAATGGAACGATTTCCTGGAAACAGCCAACTTTTATTGTCCTCAAAACGATAAATTATCCAAGAATGACACTCGGCATCCGGGACAGGAGAAGTGGGACTGTGCAGAGTCCATACATACAGAATGGGGACAGATACCGAGAATTGGCGTTGACAATGGGGCGGATCTGAGGTGTGGCAGAGGAAAGGGGCTGAAGAGGCAGAGGAAAGGGGCTGAAGAGGCAGAGGTGTGGCAGAGGAAAGGGGCTGAGGCAGAGGAAAGGGGCTGAAGAGGCAGAGGAGAGGGGCTGAAGAGGCAGAGTTGTGGCAGAGGAAAGGGGCTGAAGAGGCAGAGGAGAGGGGCTGAAGAAGCAGAGGTGTGGCAAGGAAAGGGGCTGAAGAGGCAGAGGAGAGGGGCTGAAGAGGCAGAGGAAAGGGGCTGAAGAGGCAGAGGAAAGGGGCTGAAGAGGCAGAGGAGAGGGGCTGAAGAGGCAGAGGAGAGGGGCTGAAGAGGCAGAGGTAAGGGGCTGAAGAGGCAGAGGAGAGGGGCTGAAGAGGCAGAGGTAAGGGGCTGAAGAGGCAGAGGAGAGGGGCTGAAGAGGCAGAGGTGTGGCAGAGGAAAGGGGCTGAAGAAGCAGAGGTGTGGCAGAGGAAAGGGGCTGAAGAGGCAGAGGAAAGGGGCTGAAGAGGCAGAGGTGTGGCAGAGGAAAGGGGCTGAAGAAGCAGAGGTGTGGCAGAGGAAAGGGGCTGAAGAGGCAGAGAAAAGGGGCTGAAGAGGCAGAGGAAAGGGGCTGAAGAGGCAGAGGTGTGGCAGAGGAAAGGGGCTGAAGAAGCAGAGGTGTGGCAAGGAAAGGGGCTGAAGAGGCAGAGGTGTGGCAAGGAAAGGGGCTGAAGAGGCAGAGGAAAGGGGCTGAAGAGGCAGAGGAGAGGGGCTGAAGAGGCAGAGGTGTGGCAGAGGAAAGGGGCTGAAGAAGCAGAGGTGTGGCAGAGGAAAGGGGCTGAAGAGGCAGAGAAAAGGGGCTGAAGAGGCAGAGGTAAGGGGCTGAAGAGGCAGAGGTGTGGCAGAGGAAAGGGGCTGAAGAGGCAGAGGTGTGGCAGAGGAAAGGGGCTGAAGAAGCAGAGGTGTGGCAGAGGAAAGGGGCTGGCAGCCGTCTACCTCCCCTCCTCGTTCTCCTGTAATCAGACTCAGCCACTTCCACCCGGGGATTCCATTCTCCAGCCTCCCCGAGCCTGGATGAGCCTCTCTGCTCAGCTCCGGAGCCGTCGGCATGCTTCCCTGGAAGAGGAGCAAGTTCGTGTTGGTGAAGAAGGAGAAGAAGACCAAGGGGGTCAGCTACTCCTCGCTGCTCTCCTCCTTCATGCGCTCCTGCCCCGACCTGCTGCCCCAGTCCCCCTTGGCACGCCTGGGCAAGGTCTTCAGCACCAGGAGGCAGAAGGTGGAGCTGAACAGAGACGACCCGTCGTACACCGCGTGGTACCTGGGCAACGCGGTCACCCTCCGCGCCAAGGGAGAGGGCTGCACGGCCGAGGTGGTCAACAAGATCTGGGAGAAGAGCGAATTCGGAGGGTACAGCACCAAGATGAAGATCTCCCTGGGCTCCTACGGCATCAGGATGACCCCCAGCAAGAAAGGCGCCAGGAAGACGGTGCACACCTACCTGCTGCACCGCATCACCTGCTGCGTGGCGGAGGCCGGGCACCCCAAAGTCTTCTCCTGGGTCTACAGGCACCAGATCAAGAACAAGGCGGTGGTGTTGAGGTGCCACGCCGTGCTGGTGTCCAAGGCGGAGAAAGCCAAAGTCATGGCGCAGACTCTTTGCCAGACCTCCCTGGCGGCCTTCAAGGAGTTCAAGAGTTTGAAGAGGCAGAGCGACTTCAGGAGGGAGCAACAGGAACTTTTGGGGGACTTGGTGGTGCCCATGATGCCCCTGAGGAAGGTCCTAAACGGCACCTGCTCTTATAACCCCCCATCGGAGAGAAGTAGGACTGTGCCTAGGCTCAGCTCCATCCTGGAGGAAGAGGAGGATGGCGAGGAAGAGTGGGCAGACCTGCGCAGGACGCCCGTCCACATCAGGGACCGCTTCGTCACCCACCAGCAGGAGAAGGACGCAATTCTAGAACTGGCCCAGGAACTGAGGAGACTGAGCATCCAACGGGAACTGGCCAATCAAATCCCCTATGTGGCCACCACACACCTCCCAGACTGGAAGTGGACCGTACAAACTATTTGTTGACCCCAAATCTCTGCTGTCCTTACCCCGTCTCCGGGACCGTCTCCGGGACCACCACCGCCTTCCAGTCCCGTCCAATCCCCTGCAGGACTGTCCCAGGCTGGTCTGGATTACAGGTGACCTAATGCCATTCTGGGTGGGTAGGAAATGGTAAAGACTCTGCTTGGCAGGAGAGCTAGCAATCAGTCTTTGGGAATCAGTGTCCATACAAGAGCCTGTATATGGGACCATTGTCCATACAAGAGCCTGTATATGGGATCAGTGTCCATACAAGAGCCAGTATATGGGACCATTGTCCATACAAGAGCCTGTATATGGGACCATTGTCCATACAAGAGCCTGTATATGGGACCACTGTCCATACAAGAGCCTGTATATGGGACCATTGTCCATACAAGAGCCTGTATATGGGACCATTGTCCATACAGGAGCCTGTATATGGGACCATTGTCCATACAAGAGCCTGTATATGGGACCATTGTCCATACAAGAGCCTGTATATGGGACCACTGTCCATACAAGAGCCTGTATATGGGACCACTGTCCATACAAGAGCCAGTATATGGGACCACTGTCCATACACGAGCCTGTATATGGGACCACTGTCCATACACAGAGCCTGTATATGGGACCACTGTCCATACAAGAGCCTGTATATGGGACCACTGTCCATACACGAGCCAGTATATGGGACCACTGTCCATACAAGAGCCTGTATATGGGATCACTGTCCATACAAGAGCCTGTATATGGGACCATTGTCCATACAAGAGCCAGTATATGGGATCACTGTCCATACAAGAGCCAGTATATGGGATCACTGTCCATACACAAGCCTGTATATGGGATCACTGTCCATACAAGAGCCTGTATATGGGATCACTGTCCATACAAGAGCCTGTATATGGGATCACTGTCCATACAAGAGCCTGTATATGGGATCACTGTCCATACAAGAGCCAGTATATGGGATCACTGTCCATACACGAGCCTGTATATGGACCACTGTCCATACAGGAGCCTGTATATGGGACCACTGTCCATACAAGAGCCTGTATATGGGATCACTGTCCATACACGAGCCTGTATATGGGATCACTGTCCATACAAGAGTCTGTATATGGGATCACTGTCCATACACGAGCCTGTATATGGGATCACTGTCCATACAAGAGCCTGTATATGGGATCACTGTCCATACAAGAGCCTGTATATGGGATCACTGTCCATACACGAGCCAGTATATGGGATCACTGTCCATACACGAGCCTGTATATGGGATCACTGTCCATACAAGAGCCTGTATATGGGATCACTGTCCATACACGAGCCTGTATATGGGATCACTGTCCATACAAGAGCCAGTCTGTATATGGGATCACTGTCCATACACGAGCCTGTATATGGGATCACTGTCCATACAAGAGCCTGTATATGGGAATCACTGTCCATACAAGAGCCAGTATATGGGATCACTGTCCATACAAGAGCCTGTATATGGGATCACTGTCCATACTGGAGCCTGTATATGGGATCACTGTCCATACAAGAGCCTGTATATGGGATCACTGTCCATACAAGAGCCTGTATATGGGATCACTGTCCATACAAGAGCCTGTATATGGGATCACTGTCCATACACGAGCCTGTATATGGGATCACTGTCCATACAAGAGCCTGTATATGGGATCACTGTCCATACAAGAGCCTGTATATGGGATCACTGTCCATACACGAGCCTGTATATGGGATCACTGTCCATACAAGAGCCTGTATATGGGATCACTGTCCATACAAGAGCCTGTATATGGGATCACTGTCCATACAAGAGCCTGTATATGGGATCATTGTCCATACAAGAGCCTGTATACGGGATCACTGTCCATACACGAGCCTGTATACGGGACCACTGTCCATACAGAGCCTGTATACGGGATCACTGTCCATACAAGAGCCTGTATATGGGATCACTGTCCATACAAGAGCCTGTATATGGGATCACTGTCCATACACGAGCCTGTATATGGGATCACTGTCCATACAGAGCCTGTATACGGGATCACTGTCCATACACGAGCCTGTATATGGGATCACTGTCCATACAAGAGCCTGTATATGGGATCACTGTCCATACAAGAGCCTGTATATGGGATCACTGTCCATACAAGAGCCTGTATATGGGATCACTGTCCATACAAGAGCCTGTATATGGGATCACTGTCCATACAAGAGCCTGTATATGGGATCACTGTCCATACACGAGCCTGTATATGGGATCACTGTCCATACAAGAGCCTGTATATGGGATCACTGTCCATACAAGAGCCTGTATATGGGATCACTGTCCATACAAGAGCCTGTATATGGGATCACTGTCCATACAAGAGCCTGTATATGGGATCACTGTCCATACAAGAGCCTGTATATGGGATCACTGTCCATACAAGAGCCTGTATATGGGATCACTGTCCATACAAGAGCCTGTATATGGGATCACTGTCCATACAAGAGTCTGTATATGGGATCACTGTCCATACAAGAGCCTGTATACGGGATCACTGTCCATACAAGAGCCTGTATACGGGATCACTGTCCATACAAGAGCCAGTATACGGGATCACTGTCCATACAAGAGCTTGTATACGGGATCACTGTCCATACAAGAGCCTGTATACGGGACCACTGTCCATACAAGAGCCTGTATATGGGATCACTGTCCATACACGAACCTGTATACGGGATCACTGTCCATACAAGAGCCAGTATATGGGATCACTGTCCATACAAGAGCCTGTATATGGGATCACTGTCCATACAAGAGCCTGTATATGGGATCACTGTCCATACAAGAGCCTGTATATGGGATCACTGTCCATACAAGAGCCAGTATATGGGATCACTGTCCATACAAGTGCCTGTATATGGGATCACTGTCCATACAAGAGCCTGTATATGGGATCACTGTCCATACACGAGCCAGTATATGGGACCACTGTCCATACACGAGCCTGTATACGGGATCACTGTCCATACAAGAGCCTGTATATGGGATCACTGTCCATACAAGAGCCTGTATATGGGATCACTGTCCATACAAGAGCCAGTATATGGGATCACTGTCCATACAAGAGCCTGTATATGGGATCACTGTCCATACACGAGCCTGTATATGGGATCACTGTCCATACAAGAGCCTGTATATGGGATCACTGCCCATACACGAGCCTGTATATGGGATCACTGTCCATACAAGAGCCTGTATACGGGATCACTGTCCATACAGAGCCTGTATATGGGATCACTGTCCATACACGAGCCTGTATATGGGATCACTGTCCATACAAGAGCCTGTATACGGGATCACTGTCCATACAGAGCCTGTATACGGGATCACTGTCCATACAGAGCCTGTATACGGGACCACTGTCCATACAAGAGCCTGTATATGGGATCACTGTCCATACAAGAGCCTGTATATGGGATCACTGTCCATACACGAGCCTGTATACGGGATCACTGTCCATACAAGAGCCTGTATACGGGATCACTGTCCATACAAGAGCCTGTATATGGGATCACTGTCCATACACGAGCCTGTATATGGGATCACTGTCCATACACGAGCCTGTATACGGGATCACTGTCCATACAAGAGCCTGTATATGGGATCACTGTCCATACAAGAGCCTGTATACGGGATCACTGTCCATACACGAGCCTGTATATGGGATCACTGTCCATACACGAGCCTGTATAGGGGGATCACTGTCCATACACGAGCCTGTATATGGGATCACTGTCCATACACGAGCCTGTATACGGGATCACTGTCCATACAAGAGCCTGTATATGGGGGATCACTGTCCATACAAGAGCCTGTATATGGGATCACTGTCCATACACGAGCCTGTATACGGGATCACTGTCCATACAAGAGCCTGTATACGGGATCACTGTCCAATACACGAGCCTGTATATGGGATCACTGTCCATACACGAGCCTGTATATGGGATCACTGTCCATACAAGAGCCTGTATACGGGATCACTGTCCATACACGAGCCTGTATACGGGATCACTGTCCATACAAGAGCCTGTATACGGGATCACTGTCCATACACGAGCCTGTATACGGGATCACTGTGTCCATACACGAGCCTGTATATGGGATCACTGTCCATACACGAGCCTGTATATGGGATCAGTGTCCATACACGAGCCTGTATACGGGATCACTGTCCATACACGAGCCTGTATATGGGATCACTGTCCATACACGAGCCTGTATATGGGATCACTGTCCATACACGAGCCTGTATATGGGATCACTGTCCATACACGAGCCTGTATATGGGATCAGTGTCCATACACGAGCCTGTATATGGGATCACTGTCCATACAACGAGCCTGTATATACGGGATCACTATATATGGGTAGGACTGGGCGGAGGGTAGAAGTGGCAGGAGAGGGGGAAGCAAGAAGGACCGGACGTGTGGTGACCCGTACTGATTACATAGTTCATGGGGGAGGGGCACACTGTGGCTATTGGGTGTGAAGGAGTCCCTGCACTGTGACATCAGCATTTTATTCAAATTGAGCATCAGCCAAGAAAAACTGTCCAGCATGCTGGAAATCCTCCGAGTTATCCATTCTCAGCAGGCAGACAATTGTGGCATCATTCACCGTCCTGGACTGCGTGTGTCCGGTCCTTACACCGCCAAGAGGCTGGTCTGCCGCCATCGCCCGAGGGACCGCTCAGCGTGTATTGTACGGAGTAATCTGATATCCTGCTCAGTCCCCGAGGACTTCCGATGATTCCACTTCCTGACAATAAACACAATTTCCTGACTCCTGATGACCTCATTATTGTCCCTTCATGTTATTGATACATTGTGTCATAATACTGCGTGTTATACTTCATGTACTGTATATATGTGTCATGCGATCGTACCGGGTGTCATGTGGATCGTACCGTGTGCCATGCGATCGTACCGGGTGTCATGTGATCGTACCGTGTGCCATGCGATCGTACCAGGTGTGCCATGTGATCGTACCGTGTCGTGCCACCGTGTGATGTGATCGTACCGGGTGTCATGTGATCGTACCGGGTGTCATGCGA